AAACGTACGCTTTGAGGCATTCGGCTTCATTTTATATCTCTGAAGTATGTTGAACGTTCTCCTCAAGTCAGAGCAATGATTGGTGGCCCTTCGACTTTTAACCACCATGTCATCTATGTAGACTTTCATGGTGTTACCTAGCAAGTGGGAAATCATTTTTGTCACTAACCTTTGATAGGTTGCTCCAGCATTTTTAACCTAAAGGGAATTACCTTGTAATAGTATGTCCCCTCAGGTGTTATCAAGACAGTCTTTTCGTGATCCTGTTCGGCAAGTGGGATCTAATGATATCCCCTATAGGCGTCCAAGAAGCTCATTCATTCATGATCCGACAGTTGCGTCGCCAACTGATCTATCTTCGGCAAAGGAAAGTTGTCTTTTGGACATGTTTTGTTGAGGTCGGTGAAGTCAACACAAACTCTCCACTTCCCATTTTTCTTCTTGACCACTACAGTGTTTGACAGCCAGGTCGGGTATTGAACCTCTCTAATGGTCTGCGACTCCAATAATCATGCCACCTCCTCCTTTACTGCCTCTTGATGTTGTGGTGCCGACCTCCTAAGTTTCTGTTTGATCGGCTTGAAGCTAGAATCCACGTTCAATTGATGGCAAGCCACCTTGGGTGGTACACCAGGCATTTCGTACATTGACTATGCGAATACTTCAGCATATTCTCTTAGTAGTGCGACAAGTTCATTTCTCTGCTAAAGGCTCAATGAATACGTCGACATATTCTCTTAGTAGCGTAACAAGTTCATTTCTCTGCTCGGGCCTCAATGAGGCGCCTAGAAGAAAGTGTTTGTCATCATCCTTGTCTAAAGGTACTTTAGACAAGTCTTCTACTATTCGGTCGGTTAGTTTGTGCTCAGTGCCTAAAGGTACTTTAGGTTCCACCTCGATAGCTCGGTCAGTTGAATCAACCGACCTATCGAGGTTTGGTTGCTATTTCGCCGTTTCGACTGCCAAAATTTTCTCTCTACTTTCTACACCGCCCCTTCCCTGAGGCCAATAATAAGCAAGTTCTGGAACTTACCTGGTCTCCTCGAATGTTAACTATTCCTTCTACTGACGAAAACTTGAGCACTTGGTGGTATGTTGATGGTATTGCCTACATCTCATGCAACTAGGTCCGACCCATAATGGCATTGTATGCTGAGGTCGTGTCTATCACCAAAAACTCGATCATGACCCTTACAGGGCCAGTCTTTACTGGTAGAGTGATCCTACCTCTAGGAAGAACTGTTTTTCCACTAAAGCTGACCAGTGGGTATTGGCTGGCTTAAGATCTTGTTGCTTTAACCCAAGCTTCAGAAAAGGTCCATACACATGATCTCAGAGGAGCTTCCTGGATCGACCAATATCTTCACATCATAGTTAGCAATTCTGAGCGTTACCACCAATGCATCATTGTGTGGTTGGTGTATCCCAACCAGATTCTACTCAGAGAACAGATCGTCTCGGCATCGTTCTCAAACTTTATTCTCTTATTCCCAACTTCGGGGATAATCGCAGCTCATACACTTTCTTCTCCTTCGCGGCTCCCTGAATGTATGCCCTATCAGTATTACTTGTCGTCATTTGCATGTTCGTTGCGGCATAGATTACATCTATCACACCTGCTACCGTGGTCTGGTCCCTTGGGGTTCAATTCTCCCCCCACTAGTTCTAGCACCATCCTCAATAAAGTGGGCAAGATGCCCTGCCTGGACTAGCTCTTCCAAATGTTGCTTCAAAGATCGGCAATTCTCAACCATATGGCCTACATCCCAATGGTAGGAGCACCTAAAATTGGGATTCCTCTTTGAAGGATCTCCCGTTAACTTGCTAGGCCACTTAAAATATGGCTTCGCCTTAATATGAGTCAATATTTTGTATATTGGCTCTTTAAATACTGTATTGACTCCAATGAAGGGAGATTTCGGGGGAAACCCTTCCTTTTCTTTCTTCCTTCTAACTTCTCTGTTGGGCTCGGTCTGTTTGTCACGGCTAAACTGCTTTCTACTGGGATGCTCCTTCCCAATGTCTCTAGATAAATCATCGTTGACTTTTGTGTACTTCTTGATCCTCTTCATTAGCTCCTCTATGTCTATGGTAGGCCTTTTAGTCAGAGATTGATATAAGGGATTTCTTTCGGCAATCCAATTTTGGAGGATGCCACAACAATTTCGGGGTTACAAGTTTCAACCTCATTCATCGTTTTTCAATAACGATGAGTATATTCTCTCAAAGTTTCATTACCCCTTTTCTTCAATGTCAGCAAAGCCCCGACATCTTTGGGTTGTTTGCTGCTTGTTATGAACCGAGATATGAATGGTTCAGCGAGCTGAGCCCATCCATCAACTGAACCCTTAGGTAAACTATCGAACCACTTCATGACTGACTACCCTAGGCTGCTGGGGAAGATGGTACAGATCAGCGGCTCATTCCTCCAATGAATGGTCATAAGCTACATGTAATGTCTGATGTGGGAGGCTGGATTGGTCTTTCCATCATATAACTTAAAATTTGGGACGGTGAATTTACTCAGAATTTGTCCCATTTCGATACACATGGTGAAAAGTGAGGATTCTGTACCGTCTCCATATTCTCCGGTTGCTCTCCTATCTAGGTCCCTAGCCGATTTTTACTCTAGTCTCTTCAGACAGTTGTTAAGCTCTTTAGTAATGAATTGCTTCCAAGAATCTTCCTCCTACGCTCGATGCCTTTTCTGCTTGGACTCATCTTCCTTGGCATTTTTTCTTCTACCTCTCTTCTTCTCGGGACTCTCCTGTCGGTTGTCCTTGTTACATTTATCTCTCTTAGTCATTTCCTTCAATCTAGCTTTTAACTCTTCATTTCTTTTATTAGATCTTTTTCCCTAGCATAGGACTTCTTAAACAATTTATCATGCGCGCTAAGCCGATCCTGCAGGTAGTGAACCAACTTTGCCAGTGAGTGATTCTCCCCCTCGGTATGGAGGGATTCACCACGGTCAGTGTGTTGTTGATTCTATTGTCTAGACGGTCTGAAACTTGCTGAGGACAACCCGTCATCCTCACGGGGTTTAGATGGGCTTTTATCCATATGAATCCTAACTTCGCTATCGGATGGAAGCGACACCCTGTAATTTGGATCGGAATCCCCCAAGGCAAAATTGCCTACAGGTGATCTGGTGGCACTTCTCAATCTTGACATTGGCTTTTTCATTTGGATTGATGAGAATCTTCTCACAGACAGCGCCACAAATGTAAAAGGTAAAAACTGACAAACCTCTCACAAATATGAAGGATTGATGTTTCTGATTAGGGCGTGCTTTTAAACTTGATCTCCCAGTCATCCTTTTCCTGTCAAATGAACGAACTGCCCAGAATCGAAGTGTTTCGATAGAAGGCACTCTGATGCTTAAGTCAGTAATGAGACTGAACAAATTACAAGAAGATAAGGAGAGTTTAGCGTACCTTTCACCTTGACTCTTTGTGCCTTTTATAGTTCCCTGTTTAGTTAGGTTTTCATGATTCTTGATTCAAGGTGATACACCTTCCTCCAATTAGGCGACTCTATTTGAGAAGTTGCTAAGATCTCTCTAGCAATTCCTCTTACCAAGCCTATAATTGTGCACATTTGTTTAACCGGAATGCCTGAGTTATAGGCATCTCTTTAGCTCTTCGTTTACTGTTTGAAACAGCTCGGTCATGATGATGACCGACCTCTGCTCTTTTTTCTCAAGCTCTTTGAGCAGCTTGGCTTTAATCTGATGATGATGTCTTTGTCACGTGACTAGTATTGTCACCTTCACTTGGGTTCATTTAATGTAATTGCACGTGTCACTAAGGGAGCCACCCCCTTCAATTCTTAATGGTGGAGACATCTATATACCCAATACTTTTTTGATAGTGACATATTTATACACAATCAGTTTCTATACTATGTTAATGTGTAGTTGGTGTAAACAAATAATGTTAATCGGTAATTCCTGACAACCCAACCTCCTCTATTAATGATCATATTTTTCACCTTGGGCACGAGTTTGCAATCAAAGATTTAGGTAGCCTCAACTTCTTTCTAGGCATTGAAGTTGTCCCTACCTCTCATGGGCTCCTTCTGTCCCAACAACAATATATTTTGGACCTTCTCAAAAAATGTCAAATGGATACCGCTAAGCCCCTTTCAAAACCGTTTTGCTTATTAAGTCAAACTTCGGAGCACTAAAGGTGAGTCGTTATGTGATGCTTAGCTTTATCGAAGTGTTGCCGGAGTTTTGCAATATGTCATAATCACCCACCCAGATCTCTACTTTTCTATCAACAAAGTATGTCAATACATGCAAGCTCCCACATATTCATCGTATTGCTGTCAAACGAATTCTCTGATATCTCAAAGACACCATAGACATTTGTCTTCCCATTCGCCGCTCTTCAAATTTTGGTGGTTATGTTATATTTCTTGGACCGAATCTCATCTCATGGTCCTCTCGCAAACAAAGACCCGTGGCATGTTGTGCATTTCTCATTTTAAATGAAAATTGCCCATGGACAGTTTGGAATGAATAGACCCTGATTTTGGAAGGAGCTACATTTTGAGTTCTATGCCATTTTTAGGTACCCATCCAACTGGGTATGAGATGACAACAATTGACACTACATTTAAGATATCCATTAGAATTTGATTGCAATGGTAACTATATTCTCAATTTAGATTACTAATTTTTAGATTATTCAATTATAGTAACCCAATGATATACCAATGTCAATCAAGGTTTCTATTATGCAAAATGGGGCCCTAAGATTTTCTTGATTCAATTTAAGTTGAGACTCAATTTAAATGCTATGAATTATCTAATTAAGAAGATCATATAGGGTTAGTACCCTCCAAATTAGATCATATAGAATAAATCACCAAATTAGATCACAAATGCAACACAAAAACACATTGATTAGTTAATAAAAAATGCAATGCACGATAGACACAATCAAACCCTTCCATAACTGAGTAAGGATATTAAGATTTGGTTTATTGACGTAATTTGTCGATTTGATCCACTATTATCATTGAATTACCAGTGCATCCAAATACCAATTGAGATCCATTGTCAATCCAATAACGATAGTGAATTGAGACAATAATTAAGCCAAAGTAGTATTATTGATGACTAAATTCAACCATTATCTTACATACCATGCATTCTACTTGTAATATATAAGTAGTAGAAATAGTATCTTCCAGGGTTTGTTACTTCTCTTCATGATGAAGAGTCTTCTTGATAAATTTATCAAAGTTATCATAGGATGATCCCCCAACATAAGTAGCTCTTCTGCTTTGTTCTTCCATTCCTTAGCTTTGCTCCTCATCTTCTTCCCTTTCTCCCCTTTCATCATCTCTCTGACAAGTTCTTCAACTTCCTCTCTCTTCACATCATTATTGATCTCCATTCCAATCTCCCATTCGACGCACGAGTATCGACAATTCGTTTGCTGATCAGCAAAGAAAGGCCAACAGATCACAGGAACGCCACCACATATGCTCTCTATCGTAGAGTTCCATCCACAATGAGTCAGAAAGGCACCAATAGCTGGGTGGGCTAGAACTTCATCTTGTGCACACCAACTGGTTAATAATCCTCTATCCTTTGTCTCCTCGAGAAATGCTTTAGGCAACATGGCCGAATCACCCTGCACGATATCTGGCCGAACAATCCATAGAAATGGTTGCTTGCTATTTGCAAGCCCCCATGCAAATTCCTTGAAGTGTTGGTTAGTCATGGTTGTCACACTTCCATAATTCACATACACTACTGAGTCCCTCTCTTTTTGATCCAACCATTTCAAACAATCTGAGTCTGGCTTCCATAAACTTGAATTAAGTGACATGACTTGGCTCTCTAGCACATGCCTACCCAGTAGTGAAAGTGGCCCTATTGTATAAATGTTGGGATAATTAAACTTGGATATGAATCCCTCTAACACCTCACGTTCTAATGCATCAAAAGTGTTAAAAATTATAGCAGAAGCATTTAAACAGTTATGTGCTTCCTCTCCCATGAAGTCAAACATGATGTCATTTGGGTCGGTGGTTCTGAAGAAACTTGGAAGATCTCTGAATCTTATGTCTCTCATGCCAGGAATCCAATCAATAGGTGAATCAAGAGTGCCATCAGTATTGTAGGTATCATCTGGGATGCATCAAATTAAAGTGAAATTTTGATCAAGCATAAGACTTGGAGTAAGAAAGCCATGCTGCTTAAACCAGCTATAGATACCAGAAATATACTAATTCATGTATTTAGAGTATATTATTGAAGGGTTTAGAGTATATTATATGAGGATTTACTTGTATGATCTTCATGTCCAAGGATTATAACTGGCCCTTGGGTATAGACCAAATTGTTTTGATTAATTTATTCCTTAAACAATTATATTGAAGAAATATAGATTTATATTTTTCCAATTAACCTATTTTTTTTTTTTTTGAAAATAAATCAATGGGGTATATGAACAGATCTAAGGACTATAAAAAATTCATGTTAAAAAAAAAAAAAAAAAGAGGACTATAAAAAAGTGTCATATTATCTGCAAATTTGGAATGGTGTGTTTGTGATTTGAATGGAAAGAAAAAAAATTTAAAAATATTCTCTATCACCAATTTTTGAGTGGTTTTTGGAAAAGTCAAAAGTAAGTCCAACTTTCCTGGGATTATTGGCTGCCGAACCAGCTAGCAAAATCTTGACAAAGACGAGACAAAGAAAGGCACATCATACCATATCAAATTAACATAGGAGCAAGTGTAACAATCCATTTCAATATTATATTCTGTCATTTATCTAGGTGTTTGATTATACACGGCATAGTGTTTGATTATACACGGCATATACGGCAAATTGCGGTAGCTATTAGGCCAAGAGTAATGCTATATTGATCAAATTTTGAGACTAAATTTAGAGTTCAAATGACATGATAACATATTATTTGAAATTTTTATTGGGATCCAAATAACATAGTACCAAAAAAAGAAATCCAAGTCAGCTGTCATGTCATTTGAACTTCAAATTTAATCTTAAAATTTGGTCACTATAGCATTAATGATTAGGCCAAACGCTAATATTCATAGATAGCATTATAGTACAAGAAGGAAAATTTTGGTAAAAAACTTGACCGTTAAAAGTTATAACTTTAATCGATTATATTTTGTGATTAATTATAATCTTTTAATTGCAAGCACTACGGAACCCAAAGTCAGTTCATTAACAAGTCTGACTTGATAGTTAGCAAGGAATGAGTCTCTCTCAGACTTAATTCAAGAAGAAAACTCTTTGCTTTTTCAAGTCAGTGAAATGCTTCATTAATCATACGAGAAAAGGATAAAAAAAGGGAACTTCAGTTTACCTTTAAATGGAAAAATGCCTCTTTTGATAAGTTCACGATAGTGCAAGTATCCCATGAAGGAACAAGCAGAAGCAGTCCAGAATTGAACTTCTGGAATGCCCATATCTTCCCCAGCTTTCACACCAAAGCTCATAACTCCATCTGAAATTATGCACGTAACTGGGGGTATGTCGGAAGATGAATTCAACTTTCCTAATAATTCTTTGAACGGAACCAAACAGTTCTTTCTAGTCGAGTAGCATAACTGTGGTACATCTTGGGTTGCATCACGAGTTGATGGTGGCATACCATCCGGTATGGTCTCGAACTTGAAGTCAGGCAAGCCCTCCACAGATTCCGGTCCGTTTGACTTAATCAAACGGTTGTGGTTAAATTCTGTATTGACAAAGGTGATATGGAAGCCTCTTGAGTGTAGAAGTTTGGCAAGTCGCATCAAAGGGTTCACATGGCCCTGTGCTGGGTATGGAACCAACACTGCATGAGGTTTTTGAGTTCCAACTAAACCCATTTTTTGGCAAAGCACCAGCCCTAAGAGGAGATGAATTATTCAGAAGGCTTTGCAAGCTGTAAGTAACTAGTATGGTGCTATATATAGGAGTAGCACACTAAATCCTGAGCGTTGAATTACGGATGTGATAGGATGAGAAAAAAATATATAGATTAATTAGAATTAATCAACCGACTTAATTAGCCGGAGTCGTTCAAGCTACATGTTATTGTATTAAACCACTATTTGTTTTAAACGTTAAAGTGCTAGAAAGTGTAATTTAAGTATTTAGATATTTTAATAACCCCCACACATGCAGATCAAATTTTGGTGATAAATGTAAAATTTTTTTAATTATTTGAATAGTTGTGAGAGTTGAACACGTGATTTTTCGTTCTCATATTGGGTCTGTTTTGCAGTTAATTTTTTTGGGTACAAAACAGAGATTTAAAAAATAAAATTAAAAAGTTAAAGTTAAAAAAATTCTTAAAACGGTTTGAAATATTTTTGAAAATTTTGATTTTTTGTTGCAAACCCTTGGATTAGCTTAATTTTTTCTTACTGTAAAAGAAGTTTTTTTTATCCAAAAAACTGGTGAAAAAGTCATTCAATAAGTTCAGGTCCAAACAAACAAGATTTCTTATCCTCTTAAACCAAAAAAAAAAACTAAGGTTTTAATGTCAAGCTCAATCAGCAACAACCATGCACATTGGTAAACTCGGATTTCATGGTGTCACGGAGCAAGGAATTCAAGATACCAGTGTCGGCATATGTAATATATGAATATTCCAATTATGTCAACATCGGAATATAATTAGTCACGGGGCTTTGTAAATTCAACCCATTTCAAGGTTTCTGAAAAGCTTCCCTGTTTTGTTTGCTATCGATTCTGGCCGTCGGATTGAGAGGGGTTAAATTACCGTCCAGGAGTTTCTATCATGGGCTTGCAGATCGATTATTTTAAGCAGTGACAAATTAACTGTACACCAAAAGATCTTTATATTCTCAATTTATGCAATGAAAGATTGAAATTTTCATATTACACTCTCATTCAAACAAAAAATGTAGTAATGTGCTCTGAATTTTTCATTAAAAACACTTAAAATTAAGTACTAGACAAACAGTTGTGCATAAAAATAGGATAACACGGAAAATACACAAAACAAAATTGCAAAAAGGTAAGGAAAAGTTAGTTTTGGACTACATTGCGACATTTTTTATTTGATTGAGGTTACAATGTGAGAATTTTAATTTTATTGAGTGCAAGTTGAGAATTTAAGAATCTTGTAGGGTACAAAGTGTAGATTAATCCTTTTAAGTATTATGTAGATTAGTTATAGTACAATGTTTACAATGATACCCTGGGTTTCTAATAATTACCCGAATGTTCCTTCTTATTTATGAAATTACACTGTATGCGACGGTTTGTATAATATTCTATCAGTTAGTTAACCGTCAATATTCGAACTTGTTGCATTATCCTATAGCTTTGTCCATGTACCATATCTTTACATTTTAAGAAACTAGTTGGTGTATACGTGCGTTGCACGTGAATTGTTTTGAATATGAAAGTGTTATTTAATCATATAAACCCTCAATTTTTTCTCTATGTTCTTGTAGGTATTCATCAAAAGTTTTTACAGGAAAATTTCTTTTCTCTTTTGTTGTGATTAAGATAGTATTTTCAAATCTTGTTCCGGTATCAATCTAGCATTTTACATTGCTAAATATTAATCTAAAAATAATAAATTTAGACAATTTACTGTTTCTCCATAAACCAACAGAGAGAACATGACCAAAACATATAGGCACATTTTTTTAATCATAATTTGTTGTAAACAAAACAAATCCTTATTGTTAGAACCTTGAACTGTTCATATGGAGAATAGTACCCAATGACGTGTTTCATTTCATAGCAAGTTATTATTCACAAGACAAATAAAATGTGCACTATTCACTATATATTTTAAGATTAGAGAGATCACCTAAATCATTTAGCTTTATTGTAACTTATTCTATCTCAAATGTTTGTAGATGCTAGACGGTTAATTTAAATTAATAGATTAATATTGTCTTATAATTCAATTTTTCATTTATCAAACAAATCTAAACATACAACAACCATAAGTAGATTTTTGTCATCTAAACTAAACACCAAACAATGGTTATCCTATAAATTTTGCATGTAAGTTGATAGAACAATTGTGTTATGAATATATTAATATTTGACTCTATTGAAGTAAGATAAAAATGTGGGAGTTGAGTATCTAATATCTACGTCTATGTCTCTTGACTTCCTTTTGTTCAATATCTACAAATCAATACAAGAAGGGTAAAACAATATTCATAATCAATAGTTTGAATGCATCTCTCCACATTGAGAACAAATTCTAGAAAAATAACCAGTTGAAAAATTCTCAACAAAGTTGTTATAAGAAAATTAAGGTTTTGTAAATGCAATGGCAAGTATAATCGGTGCACAACTACTATTTTCAATTGTGATTTACAAGCTAATATAATAAACACAAGGTTTGTATTCATAAATAAACAATATAAAACAGCTAACCAACAACTAAATTACTTGAGTTTAAAAAATTTTGTCATCTTTTTTCTCTTGCCTCATGGTAGAATTTTCGGGCTGAGAAATGTGTAACATAAATTTATTTAGACCAATAACAACAGCATAAAATTTTCTTGTCCCTTGATATCTAACTCAAATTCGTTGAAAAATTGCGTAAGTATAAATGTTAAAGTTTTCTCCTATGATTAAAAAAATCAAAGTAAAAAAGCATGGTTGATTAGGTCACCCTAACTGGGTGGAAGTTCTAATTTAGTTGGAAGTTTGTCTGTGTCAAAAAATTGATATGGCCCATAGGGATAAGAAGAAACATAAATCCAATGCATATAACTACTCATGCTAGATGAAATTGATCAGAAGCACACTATGGGCAAATGACATTTGATTTATTGTCTTTGTTAACATCTTTCTTCATTATGTCACACATTATAAAACAGTCTTATAACCCAAAAAATTAGCATTCTTCAGTGATTAAATAAAATATAAACTATTAGCAAAGACCAGAATAAAAAATGAGACAAGCGGAGCACTTTGGAAAATAGGATGTCACCCAATTAAATAAACATAAATAATCTCAAAATATAATAAGTAGAACAAAAGGTAACCAGGTCCTTAAAGAAAAAAGATCAAGGAAAAGAAAATCAATACCTATTACGGCAGCCTTTTCATTTCAACACACAGTGAGAGAGGAAGAGAGAGGGCAGAAGTCTTCACTAATATCATCGTCACTCAAAACCCATCACCCCCGTCACCATTGTCACCCACAATTGCTACCACCACCACAGTCATCGCCTTACCCAGCACAACCATCATCGTCTCTTATCATCACCACTATCGCCTACCACCACTACCACCGCTCACCCCCCACTATAATCGATACTTAAATTTCTTTATCTTTCCTCTATTTTTGTAATTTAATTTTGAATGTAATTTATTCCATGCTTTTAGGAACGGAGAATAACTAGTATGATATATGTGTCAATTCAGTTCAAATTATGTTAAGAACATCCCTATTCCAAATTAAAATAACTATGAAACCATTGGATATCCCTATTCTAGTCAAGTATTCACTTATTTTTTTTATTTTTTTATTTTTTGGATTCAACAATCAGGGGTGTCAGGGCCAGCTTACGCGCACTTTGATTAATCCTCTCCCCTATCTGGTCAAAGGCAAGTCATCCACGTTGGGATTAGGATATTAATGAAGGATAAATCTCTTATGATCTAACTCTAATAGGTTGCTAAGATTCAAACTCAAGACGTCTGAATTTACAGTTTATATCTGTTATCACTTGAGATACCCATGAAGTTGCATTTCCTTATCCATGACCAACTAACGACAACAAGCAACAGCACCTCGACCTCCACCATAGCCCCACAACCACCTTAGTCCCACCACAACATTGACTTTTACCACCACCCAAATACAACAACCCAAAACCCACCAAGTCATCTCTACTTCGACATCCATGCAAAAACTTGTACGACCATTTCCATCACTTCTTGAACGCCGAAAACAAAACCACTTCCTCCACGTAAAAGTTTGCTATCAGCATCGGTGTATCACCCTACCTGGTAGTGTAGGACCATGATTTCTATTGGTGGGTGCTGGGGTATGGTTGTGAAAAAAGAAAAAAAAAAGTAGTAACGGAAGATACCAAGTGGAACAAATTTTTGAGAGGATAACATGTTCAAACCTTAAATTTAGTATGTAGAATTAATCTATATTTATACTATTATAAAATGTCAACAAAAGTGAAAAAACTTTTGTTTGACTATAATAACCTTAATACAACTACTAATGTCTATAGTACCCTTTTTTCATTTAATTTATATATATGTATATGTGTGTGTATATTTATATCTATATATATACTATTTTAAAATATCAGCATATGTGGATAACATTTTTTTTCTCTTTTACCCTCCAAAAATAGAAGTATGTCTTTCAAATCCTTCATAATAATGATCCACTAAACCCAAATTAATACCTTTGTTTCCCACTTTTTCTGCCGTTACAAGTTAGTACAACACTTCGCTCTCTCTCTTTCTCTCTCTCTGAACAAACAACCATGCTCCCTCTCTTCATCTTCCCCATCTCCCTATGTTCTCTTTAATGCTCTCTTAGTGGCCCTACAGATTTTCGGCCTTCTACATTTCAAATTCCATTAAGTCCTCCTCTATAGGGTCTCTCTCTCCTTCCCCCTCTTTTTCTCTTTCGTATTTGCCTTCCCATGAAATTGAAAGTGCAAAAGAAGACATAGATGGAGCTAATCCTCCTACTTCTCCTCCATTGGCGCTAGTGGCGTCTCAATGAAAGTTAGGGAGCCGCTCAGGGACTTCTTTCCGAAGGTCTCTCTTACTTCACTTATTCTTTGTGAAATGAACAATAGTTATGTTCTCGATGGCTTCTTGTTCTTGGGTTTTAATTGCATTGGTTGTTGGCTGTCTTTCCCTTGTTTCTGGTTTCTTTGTTTTGTTTATTTGATTAATATTAGATTAAAA